TCACCCCCCACCCCACCTCCACAGCGGGCTCCTCCCTGCACGGTGGGAGATGCAGTGCTGGCACTGCCATCATTTGTCCCAGACCCATGCCCCTCCCCTCTCCAGCCCTGTCCTGCGTCCTTGTCTAAGAAACCTTCACTAGCAACTGCTGCCTCTTCAGAGGCGAATCCCAGGCTGGAAGCATCCTAGCCAGGCCTGCCTGTGACAGCAGGGCCCACCCTCCCACCAGGCCTGGGAGGCGCTAGGTGCCACCTCAGAGAGGGCCTGGCTGGCCCCATGACAAGAACAAGAAGTGCTAACTGGTACCAGAGTCCCCAGATAGAGCTGCGAGGGCTCTCGCTGTGGGCGCAAGCTCCAGAGTAGCAGGCTGGATGGAGTGTCCCTTCTATAGGGACACAGCCGCCTGCCAGCTGGGCCTAAAGTCTGGAGCTTGTCCCTGAAAGGGACTGTCTGCTGCCCTCGCTGCCCCATTGGCGCCCTCAGGGCCTCTTGCAGTGCGGGTGGTCCTACTAGAGGGCAGCCATCCCCACCTGGCACCTCAGTGGCTTGGCGGTGACATGGCAGTGGGAGGGCTCTGAGGTTCCCACCCTGACAGTGGTCAGGCTGCCCGTGCTCCCATTCCAACGCTAAAGGCAGCTCCCTTAGGGGCTGGGCGTGGGTGCTCAGTGTTCACGCTATGTCCCTTGGGCAATGTGGGGTTGGATGGGGCCCCCACTGCCATTCCCATGGAAGGAGGCCAGGTTCCTAGCCACCTCCCACTCAGCCATGCACGCACTTGCTGGGCTGGCCTCCTAGGAAACACAGGTGACTCGAATGAACTCTGTATTTTCAACGTGCCTTCTACTGCTTCAGGACCTGGGGGTCCCCCTGACCCTCACTGGCTTGCCCCCAGCCCTGGGCCTGGTCCCGCCTGTCCTGGAGCCGCCTCTCTGGGGTGGGTCTCAGTCCCGACCCCTCCCTCTTTTGAGTTCAGTGCCTTGCTCAGCGCCTCCCCTGTATCTCAGCGTCTTCAGACCTCTGACAGAGCAACAATGTAGGGTCTCCTGGGGCCCAAGGGTCTCAGGGTCAGGGGGATGTGGGATTTGCAGGGAACGCGGGGAGTCCACAGGCTGCGCCACCTCTGCCCTGGCAGCTGAAGCCTGGGAGTCCCTGTGCGGTGTAATTGGCCTCAGCCTGCTTTCTCTCTGCCGACGCACCTCGGCGGTTCTCACAGCTTGTCCCCACATGTCATTTTCCATCCACGGGAAAAAAAAAATGCCCCTTCTCCATCTGCCATTGCGGCTTCCTCCCAGGAGACCCCTCAGGATAGGTAGAGCAGGGGCCTGCAGTGGTCAGGCCAAGAGCAAGGAAGACCTGGCTGCACCCCTGTGGCTGAAAACTCAAAACATCTGGAATTACCCTTCTCCAGTTATGTTCCCTCTTGCTTAAAGACAAAGTTGATTAAATCATCCTGCCACCCCAGACTCCAAACCAAATCTTGGACGCAAATTCATGAGCTTCATAAAGCCCAGGTTAATTTATGTGACAGTCTGGAACCGCCCAGCCATGGAGTCAGTGGCCATGTTCCCCGCCACCTCTGAGCTGGGGCAGCCCCGGCCCTGGAGGGAACTGGCCCACAGTGACCACATTGCTGCTGCCAAGTGGGGACCCTCACCACTGCCGTTGTCTAGCTGCTTTGCTCCTCAGTGTCCTCCTGCTGTAAGTCAGATGAGGTCACCTTCCTCTCCATCGATGCCAGGCTTCTGCCGCTGACGGCCAGTGGGGCTTGGGGCCAGGGGCAGAGAACCCCAACAGCAAGACAGCCCCGGGTGATGCTGGCTCTCCACGTGCATCAGGCACATTTCACTGGAGCCATCATCAACTTGGCAAAGTAGGCAAGTTCAGCTTGTGGTTTCCATATTGCAGATGGGCCCCCGAGGTCAGTGGTGGGGAGAGCAGAAGAGGATGCCAGCCCAGCCTGGCCCAGGAGCAGGTGTCGCTGTGGAGGAAAGCTTAAACTCAGCAGCGTCTACCCAACATCTGCCACCTGCATGGCCCCAGATGCCCCCAGGGCAGACCAGGTCAAGGTGGTAGTAAACTTTCTTTGCCTCCTTCCCCGCAGAAGCACCAGACCCACCTGAGCCCCAGAGCCTCATGCCAGCAGCTCCTGGCTGTTCCTCACCTGAGGCTAGAGCAGCAGCTGCTGGCTTATAGATGGGGCGGATAGCAGGTGACAGACTGGGAGGTACTGCTGGGTGGTGGAGATGGGCAGTGGCACCATGATGGGCCCTTAGCCACACAGCCGTCCTCACCCTGGGGCCAGGAGCAGCCTCGGCAACAGGCAGAGGCTAGAGTCAGAGTGGTGGGGAGGACAGGGGCTGCTGCCCCGCTCCTGGAAAGCCACTGCGGAGGGGCAGTGGCTGGCAGTGCCAGGCCTGGGGGAAGTGGAAGCGTCCTGTGTGGGGCCATATTCCCAAGCAAGGGTGACCCATGGTTAAGGGCCACTGGAAAGTTGGAGAGAGCTTGGGATCTCTTCCACCTGGGGCCGATGGTGTTGATTGCAGACTGGAGGGGTAACCTCCGCTGAATGTCATTATATGCCAGGCATGGCATTGGGTACTTTCCGTGTGGACCAGGCAGCTGGGCCTGCCATTTGCAGGCAGCGAGCCTCCGTGGTCTGTCCTTCCTCATTTGTAAAGTGGGGTAACAGCAGCTACGTCACTGGCCAGTTGTGGGGATTAAAGTGCTGAGCTTAGTGCCCAGCACAAAATGCTCAATAAAGCTATTCAGTGACACCTGTTTCCCACATCACTCGCCAGACTAACTACTTGTAGCCAGGGACCCCCAACTCATTAGGACTCCTGACACCTACTTGGTTTCATAGCCTCCTAATGAGTTGTCACTGGATTGCGATTCGGAAACAGAAGATTGGTCTGAATTATCTGGAGTCTAGAGGGCTTTGGGGGTAGGGGTTGTCTCTCGTTCCCCAGTCCCCTAGGAAACTTGAGGACAGTCCTTCCCTTTCAAAGAGCAGGACAGGCTAGGCTGGAGGGTCCTGACTGAAGACATCAGCCTGCCCTTTTGCAAGCTCTGCCCTCCTCCCCTCCACACACCTGGCTCCCTGCAAAAAGCTGGCTTGGACCACAAGCCGCTCAGCCAGACACAAGGAAAAACAGCTACAGCAGCAACAGAAGGGACCCCAGTTAGTAAGATTTTCCTGCTCTGAGGCCAGCCACAAGGGCCTCTCTCTGTATCTCACCCAAAGAAAAAAAGTGTTATTTGAGCATGTGGGTCACCAGGCCCTTGTTTATGACGCTTTCACATCTGTGGCCTTACTTACTCTCCTCTCCCCTGCCACGCTTTCTTCCCTTCCTTTGGTGGTGCAGGAAGCCAGGCCAAGCTAGTTCTGAACTCAGGATGCATCCTTCCTGCTACCTGTCCCCCAGGATTCATAGCCTCCTGCCCCCGCCCCCAGATATATTCCTAGAGAAGGAACAAGGCAGCCAGCGCCTGGCCCAGGAGCAAGAGCAGCCCTCAGAGCCAGCAGCAGGCTCAGTTCCACATTGGAGGCTCAGCTCTTAATGATCTTTCCAGTTCTTGGTTATTAATGATCTTGGGCAGAGAGCGGAGCAGCCCTGATCTCACAGCTCCTCCGGGCTGCCTCACCTGCCACAGCCTTCCTCCCAGGGCCGAAGGCAGACCCTGACTCCGGGAGGAGGGGCTCGGTTCCAGGGGCTGGTGGCCAACAGTTAACCCTCACACCACTAGTGGCTGCGACCAAGGTCAAGCTCCCTTCCAGAGTGCTGGCCTCCAACACTCACCTAGACAAACTCCCGGCCTGCTGTCCTGAACCTGGATCCAGCCCATGAAAACCCATAGGGTAGAGAGCATGAAATTGTAATGGACAGGGCCACCCACTCTTGGGGTACTCTCCTACCAAGAATAGAGGTGTATCCCACCCTACCATTTCAGCTGCCTTCACCCCTAAAACCCCCCAAAAAAGTCCAGTTCTTATGGCCCCAACCCAAGTAATGGGGTCTTCAGAGACTAAAGAGGCCATCCGGCTTCCTGGGAACCAGCAAAGAGCTCTGGGGGAGGGCACTGGCAGAGACAGCCAGCACCGCCCCTCGGGCTTCCTCTCTGTCACGTGGAATTAGCCTCTGGTCTGCCTCCACGAAACTTGTCAGGACAGCCAGGGCTTGGCCTTTACATCCTCAGCCGTTAGAAAAGGGTCTGACAGAATCAATAGTTCCACTGTTTGTGGAACGGATAGAAGCATGAAAGCCTGCTTGCTCCACAGTCATTGTAGGGGGGATAAGTGTAATTGCAGATGTGAAAACATTGAAAATGGTAAGCAAAAGCCATCTTTTCAGATGGGCCAGAGGCAAAGATGTGTGATAGAAAAAGGAAGTGGGGCTAGAAGCCCCAGAGGGAGGACAGGATGAGACCTCAGGCAGATTCTCCCACCACAGGAGTCCTGGCACCAGCGAGGCCAAGCTGTGCCTGACCCTGGCAGCCACCTGCCCCAGGATTCCAGAGCCCAGGCAGTTCCAAGCCTCGCGTGTCAGAGACAACGTGGCCAGCCAGGGTTTAGCAAACCTACAAGCTCCCTACCTTTCTCTGCCTCTGCCACCATGGCACTGTCAGGCTCCCCAGGGCGTCCCTGGCAGGGCGGGGCAGCCACCACCCCTGGCACAAGCCTCCCTTTTCAAGGAGACTGAGGGATGAATGCCATCCATCATCACCAGAGCCCCTGTGCTGAGCACACATGTTACATCCGGTGCCAGGATGGGTGGGAGCTGGCCCTGAATACCAAGTGGCTTCTGCTGTCCAGAGCCCCCTCTCAGCCTCACCTCCTTCCCACATCCCTCCCAGACGCTCCCAAGGCTCCGCCTCCCTGAGAGGGAGCTGCCCACCTGCTTTAGGCAAACACCCCACCTGGGATACTCCCATGATGCCCCTGTTGTCTGCGGCCTGTGCTGTGCCCCTTCCAGAATGCAGAATGAAGCAACCAGGACCAGTGTGTTGTAAAAGGTTGGTTTAATGTCCCAGTGCTCTGATGAGAAGAAACTCCAGCCAGGTAGAGCAAGGATCAGGATGACCCTGCCTCAACCACAAGTTCCAGTCTCCATGCCCACAGCAGCCATGACCAGTAACTGGCTAGCCCCAGGGCAGGGAGAGCCTCAGGGGTCTGACCCTCACAGCACACCCTCCTGGCAGAACTCTGCATGATAAGAGGACAGCAGAAGCCCAACCCTCACCACGATTTGAGGCTACTGAGGTCACTGATGACCATGGAAGATCTCATCTGTCACTGGGGTCCCATGGCCAGGATTTCATGGTAGAAGCGAGAAAAGCCCAATCCTGCCTGCCGCTTAATCCTGACAGTGCCAGGCAGAGAATCCAGCTGGCTCGAAGCCCGAGTGGCTGATAACTCACACTTCTGACTCCAGACTGGAGATCCGCCTCCAGGTGCAGGGTCCCGGGAAGCCTTGCGTCCCACAGGCTACCCTGCTGACCTCGTCCAGTCCCCCACTGTCCCTGTAGCCTGTGCCCAGCCCCAGAGTTCTGCCCCTGTGCCCCAGAGGCCCCCAGGCCCCAGAGAGCCAGGAGCCCTGGCTGGCACAGGGTGGAAGGTGAGGACAGACAGCCCCCCAGCAAAACGGCAGGTGGGCGTGGGCGTGCAGGCAGACATGCTGTCTGTGCTGCCAGGTGGGGGCCCCTGCCTGCTCGCCCTCCTGGCAGGCCTCCCGGTAAGTCGGCAGGCACATCGACTGCGCCTGCGCCAAGCGCCTGCAGGCCGAGTGGCCGTCGGGGCGGGCGCAGGTGAGGCAGGTGCACCCAGCGGGCAGCGAGCTGGGCCGAGCGAAGGCCTCGGCCAGGGAGCTGGGCAGGGAAGCGTGGCGCGGGCGCGAGCCCCGGGCCCAAGCTGCGTGCAGCAGGGCCTCCCGCCGGGCCAGCTGCTCCAGCCCGAGCAGCGGCAGGTCCTCCGGCTCCGGGGGCTCGGGGAAGAGCGGGAGGAAGGGGCGGCCGGATCGGTCGGCTCGAGGAAAGGAGCTGTAGTGACAGCGCGCGGGCGACAGGGGCCGCTCTGGGAGCGCGCGCCGCTCGGAGGCCGAGAGGTGCCTCCCGCAGTGCCCGGCCCGCACCGGCCACCGCGCCTCCCAGGCTGGGCGGCGCGACACTCGGGAGACGTCGGGCAGGGGCGGCCCCGGCGTCGGGGGACGGCCCGGGGGCTGCGGAGCCCTGCGCACAAGCGCCGCGCGACCCCCGCCTGGCGGTCTCCAGCCCCTGGGGCTCGGCTCTGGGGCCGAGCCGGGGGTGGGCAGGCATGGGCTGGGGCCAGACCGCGGGGTCGGGCAGGGGGGCGGTGGGGGCGCACAGCGGCCGCCACCCCAGTTCTCGATGGTGCGAGTGGCGCGGTCCAGGGAGCTGCTCACGCCCGCCGTGGTCACCATGTCGCGGGCCGCCTGCAGCATCTTGAGCACGCTGGCCTGGGCTGAGCTGGCCGTGAGGTCCGGGCTGGGCTGCCGCGGTGGGCTGGCCAGGCTCTGCACCCCGCTGAAGCAGCTGTAGATGCCCTGGGCAGTAGGGAGACGACAGGCCGTGAGCAGCGCCCTCTGCTCAGGGACCCACCACGATTGTCCCCGCCTGGTCCCAAGGCATCATCAGCCTTCTCTTAAGTCTCAGGAAGCAGCTAACTGGGAAGCAGCTCCCATGTGCCAGGCACTGTGCTTTGCAGATGAATGAGTGGTCTGAGTGCCCAGGGTGACTCATTCTCCTAATCACTCTAGTTAGCACCTGGCACATGAAGGTTCCAACCTGGGCACACCTGTGGGGGGAGGGCTCTGCCCCTCTTCAACCCTGCCACCCTGGTGAGCCATGCCACCTCTCAGGACTTTGGGTTTGTTTTTTGTTTAGACACAGGGTCTCACTCTGCTGCCCAGGCCAGAGTGCAGTGGCGCCATCTCGGCTCACTGCAACCTCTGCCTCCTGGGCTCAAGTGATCCTCCCAACTCAGCCTCCTGAGTAGCTGGGACTGCAGGCGCGCACCACCACGCCCAGCTCATTCTTTTATTTTCTGTAGAGATGGGGTTTTGCCATGTTGCCCAGGCTGGTCTCGAACTTCTGGACTCAAGGGATCCACTGGCCTAAGCCTCTCAAAGTGTTGAGATTACAGGCATGAGCCACGAGCCCGGCCAGAACCTTGGTTTTACCTCTGGAAATGGGCCATGGCCAGCCTGGACTTATCTGGGTAGGTGCCCTTAAAGCTTTGGCTTGTGTGGGGAGGGATGGGCACCCACCCTGCTGAAAGCCAGCAGGAAGTCCAGCTGGGATGTGTTGGGCACCGAGTGGCGCAGCTTCCAGTAGACCAGGTGCTCCCAGGCGAAGACCAGCAGGGCCAGCCCCATGGCCACCAGCAGCATGTAGAAGACACCTGCCATGTTGTCGATGTCCAGCTTGCTGCTCATCACCTCGTTCTTCTCATTCTGGCATATCCCTGAGAGCCACACTGTCTCCAGTTTCTGTGTCTCTCCTGGAGTTGAGCGGGGATACACATCTGGCTCAGGAAACCCCCCTATAAGCAACCCCCTTACAAAGCTCAACACAAGCCTGGAGTAAGAATGGATCTGGGGCCAGGGTGCCACCCACTTCTTCCTCAAGCAGACCACATGGGGATCTAGCCTGGCCGGGGCAGGGTGGTGGGGCGGGGAGTTGGAGGGTCAGTGAGCAAGGAAATAGGAAAGCAGGGTGCAGACTGGAGTGGGCAATGCTGGCCTTTGGGTCCTCCCCCTGTGCACCCCCAGTAAAGGCTTGTTGATTGGGTAAATGTTAACATTCATTCATTCACTCATCTTCATATACTTATTAACCATCTACATGCCACTCATGGAGCTGGGCACACAGAGACAAAAGGCCTAGGCTCCTAAGAGAACGCATTGTGATCGCTCTTATTATTATTATTATTGAGACAGTCATGCTCTCTGTCACCCAGGCTGGAGTGCAGTGGTGTGATCATGGCTCACTGCAGCCTGGATCTCCTAGTTCAAGTGATCCTTCCGCCTCAGCCCCCTGAGTAGCTGGGACTACAGGTGCACCTCCACACCTGGCTAATTTTTGTATCTTTTGTAGAGAGAGGGTATCCCCATGTTGTCCAGGCTGATCTCGATCTCCTAGACTTAAGCAGTCCTCACACCTTGGCCTCCCAAAGTGCTGGGATTACAGGTATGGGCCACCTCACCTGGCCACTCTCATTATTATATGGTTTGAAAAATCAGATTTTTTTTTTTTTTTTTGAGACAGGGTCTCACTCTGTCGCCCAGGCTGGAGTACAGTGGCACAATCATGGCTCACTGCAGCCTCAAACTCCTGGACTGAAGGGGTCCTCCTGCCTCAGCCTCCCAAGTAGCTGGGATTATAGGTATGTGCCTAATTTTTTTAAAATTTTATTTATAGAGACAGGATCTTGCTGTGTTGCCCAGGCTGATCTCAAACTCTTGACTTCAAGTGATCCTCCCACCTCAGCCTCCCAAAGTGCTGGGGTTATAGCCATGAGCCACCACACCCAGTCTAGACCATGTCTTATCTAACAAGAATGGAACTCCTCTAAACGCAAAGCTCTCTCTGGGTTTGGGGGCAGGCTGGGCTGGACCACGCACACATGTGGGACTAAGCAGATCCATAATCTCAAGATGGCCATGGAGATACTATACCAAGCAAAGGAGGTGCTCATCTGGGAGAGATCATGGGAGGGGGCTTAGGGAAGAAGAAAGGAGTTCAGCCACTCCACCCATCCCCACCCTCACCGTGAGGCCTGAGCCCCTTCCTGTCTTCCTGCCTTTGAGGGAGTCTCTAGCCCAGTTCCTGCTCCCTCCCTGCACACCTATCCCTTCCTCAAGTCTCTCTCCAGTTGCTCCTATACCTGCCCCCCTCAACTGCCCCAACCTCTCACCCCCCAGAGACCTCTCCCTGCCCACAGGCCTTGGGAACGTGAGTGGTGGTGGAAATGCTGACAACCTTGGGCTCCACAGCCCACCCTGGGCATCCCAGCAGTGGCAGTACCCACCGTCCCCCAGGAACTGCAAGAGTGCCAGGTCTATGGCCCGCTTCCAGTGGGAGTCCTTCTGCATGGCGATGCCGTAGCCAGTGGTGGCAAAGACCTTGCCAGACCCAATGGTGACCAGCTTGCAGCCCTCGTCCTTGCCTGCCATGTAGTTGAGGACAGCAGCATCATAGATGAAGGCATCCAGCTTCCTGGGGACAGGCTGAGCCTCAGAGCTAGGGACCATATGGGAGGGTAGGGGACACCGAAACTGGGGCGTGACAGGGGTCTAAACCACATGAGCTTGCTGGGCACCCCCGGGAGGGACCAATGGGCAGAGGCTTGTCTGGTTGTCTTGGGTCCTGGATGCAGTGAGGACCCCTCCCACCCTCCTCCGCAGAGTGGCCAGGGGACTCTCTGTTCCCAGAAGACACCACCCTTTCTGCCCACCCCCTCCATGCTCCTAAGGCTCAGAGGATGTCCCAGCCACCACCTCAGGCCGAGGCTGAACTTCGGTCGGCACCACAGCTGTGTTCTGAGACACATGGTGGCCTTCCATTTTTGCCTCAAGCTCCACTCTGCCCCAAGACCTCCTCCCTCCACCCCCCAGGAGTCCTGCAGGGCAGCTCAGTCCCACTGTCCCTACATTGAGAGCTAAGGCTGGTCACTGGGGAAACACATGGATGGAGACAGCGGGTGCAGGGCTGGGGACGCACCCCATCTTGAGGCTGGTGAGCGCGTCCTCCACCGAGCGCTGGTTGAACTTGACCATGTGGGTGTGCATGTCACGGTAGTTACTGCGGATGTTCCGCTCTGTGCTGCCGTTGGGCACCGTGCCAAAGCGGAAAGGTGGGTACTGATCTTGAGGCCGCTGAAACTGCAGGTGGAGGGCAGCAGCCAGTCACAACCCTTCCTCCAGCCTTCCAGGCACCAAAGCCCCAAACCCACCCCAGAGCCCAGCCCCACAGTGTGGACTTGCATAGTCAGAGCAGAAGGTCTTAAAGGCTGTCCAGGCCACTCCTGTGTTTTCCAAATGGAGACTCTGAGGCCCAAGACAGGGAGAGACTTACCCAAGGCCTCTCAGTCAGTGACCCTGAGCCATCTCTTGCCCCAGCCCCCACCCCCTCCTCAGCAGGCCCTGAAGCTTCTTCCTGCCCCAGCTTCCAGCTCAAATTCCCCAGACTCTGACTGTCCTGGGTCTGCCCACTCACGGCCTGTCCCCACCCTCAGTGTCCCCCGACCCTGTGGCCCCACAACCTTCTTGTCACTGAGGCCCGACACAGTGTCGATGTATTGCTCCTGGATCATGAAGGCGGCCAGGTTGGCCGTGTAGCTGGCGAGGAAGATGACAGCAAAGAAGGCCCAGACCAGAACCATGATCTTGCTGGTGGTGCCCCGCGGGTTCTCGATCGGCACCGAGTTGTTGAAGACCAGCGCCCACAGCAGCCACACAGACTTGCCAATGGTGAAAGATGGGCCCCCGGACTCTGGGGGCAAGAGGGGGATGCTGGGGCTCCTCCTGCCCACCATGAAAGGGCTCAGGGCTCAGTCTGGCCTTGGGGGGCATCCGTCCCTGGCCATTCCCTCACCAGGTCAAGTGAGCTCGCCCGTGTGTGTGTGTGTGTGTGTGTGTGTGTGATCTGACTGGCCCCCAGCATGTGTCATCCAAAGGCAAGGGACTTCCCAAAGGTATTCTCTGGAGGACCCGTTGCCCCTGAGCCCAACCCTCAGGGTGCCCAGGCCCGCCCCTCGTGCCAGGTCCAGGCGAGGCTTACTCTTGCCTCTAGTGAGGTTCTGGTTGTAGCTGACGGGGCTGAAGTACTCGAACATGAAGACGGTGATGGCCACCACGGTGAGGCACATGACAAACATCATCACCCATACCGCAGGGCTATATGGCTCTGGGGACAGAGGGAGGCAGTTCAGAGGCCTCGGCATGTTCCCTGTCCCTGCCCCCAGCCCGGAAGCACTGGGTGGAGACAGGTGGGGTCCACGTGGTCAAAGTAGGGGCCCACCAGCTCTGCGGACCCAGCCAAGGGGGCCCCTGACTCAAAGCAGCAGAGCCCCGGGGAGAGGCCCCCAAAAGAGGTCAGGATCTCCAGCATCCTTAGTCTCCCCCTGCCCCCCACTTCCCTGGGACAGGTACAAGTCACCCACCCCAAGAAACGTTCTTTTGACTTCACAACCCCTGCCTGTCCCCAAGTGGATGATCTGGTGGTTCCGCCTGGAATCAGGGCCCCTGAGGCCAAGTCTTACTCCTCATCCTACCAACATGGAAACCCGTGCCCAGGGAACTGGAGACACCCACCCCAGGCCCCGGACAAGACTGTTTCTATCTCCTAGAGTAAGAAATCACTACTGCTGGCTGGGCTTGGTGGCTCTCACCTGTAATCCCAGCACTTGGGGAGGACGAGGTGGGCAGATCACCTGAGATCAGGAGTTCAAGACCAGCCTGGCCAACATGGTGAAACCCCGTCTCTACTAAAAATACAAAAATTAGCCAGGCATGGTGACACACGCCTGTAGTCCCAGCTACTCAGGAGGCTGAGGCAGGAGAATCACTTGAACCCGGGAGGCGTCAGTTGCAGTGAGCTGAGATCGCACCACTGCACTCCAGCCTGGGCAACAGAGCGAGACTCAGTCACAAAAAAAAAGAAAAGAAATCACTAGTGTTGGCCAGGTGCAGTGGCTCACACCTGTAATCCCAGCATTTTGGGAGGCTGAGGCAGGTGGACTGCTTGAGTCCAGGAGTTTGGAGACCAGCCTGGGCAACATAGTGAAAACCTGTCTCTATACAAAGTACAAAAATTAGCCAGGTGTGGCGGCATGCACCTGTGGTCCCAGCTACTCAAGAGGCTGAGGTGGGAGGATCACTTGAGCCCAGGAAGTCCAGGCTGTAGTGAGCCGAGATGGCACCACTGCACTCCAGCCTGGGTGACAGAGGAAGACCCTATCTTAAAAAAAAAAAAAAAAAAAAAAGGAAAGAAGAAAGGAAGAGAGGGAAGGAGAGAGGGAGGGAGGGAGGAAGGGAAATCACTCCTGCCATGAGCCTTTGCTATGCTATGAAGTGGGTTTTGTTTTCTCTCTTCCGTGGCTGAGGAGCCTGCTCAGAGAGGTTCTGTGACTTGCCCAAGGCCGCACAGTAGGACAGGACAGAGCCGAGGTTTTCACTCCTGTTTGGCCAGCCTCAGCTCTTCCCTGCCCCTTGCCTGTGCTCACAGCTCTCTGCCACCTCATACTGCATGTCCCACGTGACCTCTGACTGGGCACTGTGGGAAGGCAAGGATTATGGCTGTAGCCCCAGCACCCAGCATGGGACCTGGCTGCCCAACCAATGCTGGACTCCTCACCCAGGAAGCAACACACCTCTTCCCACACTACACTCACTCCTCGGCTCCCCACGGGCCTCCCCCACTTGTTCCACGGTCCTGGCCCATGGCCCATCCTGAGGCCAGCCTGCCTGCCAAGTTTTCCTGTCACTCACAGGGGCACCATGACCCATCCCACACCCCCAACCCCACCCTCGCCTGGCAGCCATACCTAGAACCGAACACCGACCTCACTTCTCTTGTCTCCTTTCCACTCACCTCCAGCCAACCTCCAAGACCCAAGGCTGCTGTGCTTGGCCTCTGAGAGCCCACCCAACTCCCCATCTCCACCCAAGCTGTACACACCCTCCTTGTGGGCCCCTCTGGCCCCGAAGCCATCTCTGCCCACCCTGGGCCTCACCCAGGAAGGCCGAGGGGGAGACGGTGCCATTGCTGCGAGCCACCATCACACTGATGCCCGTCTCCACGAAGGGCACAGAGAAGTCTACGATCTCGGAGCGCTCCTCATTGATGGTGAGGGAGCCGATGGCCATGTCTGCCCGCTTGTAGTACACCTGGGGGCCAGACGCCACGGAGGTTTGGAAAAAGGGCTCCCGAGGGGTAGACACACTTCACAGGCACCTCCAGGCACCCCTTCTAACACCCACCGGCTGAATCAGTCGTTCCCTCTGGGGCCCTCAGAGCTCAGCTTTCAGTACTGACCATCCCAGGAGTCATCCCTGGTGACAGCCCATGCCCCCCTCTAGAGGGCATCTGAGAGCCGCATGGGGCCTGGGCAGCAGGCAGACAGGCGGGGCAGGTGAGGAGGGAGTGGGGTGGGGCCTACCTCCCCAATCATGCCGTTCCATACGCCGCGCACCCGCTTGCCATGCTTGCCGTTGGTCACAAGGTACAGGTCGTAGGAGAATTTGACCACCCTGGCCAGCTTCTTGAGGATGTCGATGCAGAATCCCTTACAACAGAGCTTGGTGTAGGGGGCCACGTCCCCGCTGCTGCAGTCATGCCACCATGAGACCACTGGGAGTTAGAGCACATCGTGGCCCAGCCCCTCCCCAGCCGCTCCTCCCAGCCTGGCACGTGGACCCCTGCCCCACACCCAAGCATGAGACATACACAACACCTGACCATCACACAGCAGCACCCAGCTCACACCAGCCTCCCAGGGCACTCCGCAGACCTGAAGGTGTGGTTGCTCTGCCTGCGGCAGGGCACGGTGTTGGGGACGCAGCCTCCTGTGCCAGGGTCGGGGCTCTCCACGATGACAAAGGGCCTCTCTTCCAGCGTGGCCACCGTCAGGTGCCGACTGTCCACCACGGGCTGCAGAGAGGCACTGTAGCGAGGCCACACAGGGTACTTCATGTATAGGATGCCATGCTCCCAGCGCCCCACCTGTGGAGGGTGACAGTCTCAGCCTGGGGCCTCCAGCCCTACAGCCCCCACCCTCTAGGTGGAGCCTGCCAGGGCCAAGAATCCCCCTCTCTCACCTGGGGACGCTGGGGTAGGTCAGAGTAGGGCTGCTCCGGGCAGCCTCCCCCAGCCTCGGGTCCCTGTGTTCTCCAATCCAGCTCCACACTGACCCACAGCGTCTTCCTAAAGCCCAGACCTGACCCTGTCTCACTCACTGTACTGGTCCCCCCTGACTTTGACAGAAAGTCCTTAGCTGAGCACTCAAGGCCCTTCATGCTCAGGTCCAGTGTCCCCCCATCACTCCTACCTCCTCAGTCTGCACACCCCCAAACACACCCCTGCATCACTTAAAAATGCCCCAAACCCTTCTGCCTCTCTGTCTCTTCCAGGCTAACACCTCTTCCTGGTGGGCTCCTACTCAAACCTCCACAGCCCAGCTCAAATATCCCATCTTCTGTGACCTCTTCCCCAGTTTCTTCCTTTGAAGGCAGAACTAATTCCTGTTCCTCATCTCCAATCCCACAATCTTTTGCACACGTCTACTCAAGCACTGATCTCTCCATATTGTTTACAAGCCTGTCTGGCCAGCATGGTCATGGGTTACTCCTGCAGGGGCAGGACCAGGAGATAGGAGCACTTGAAATGTTCTATAGTGGAGGGAAGCTGGGGTGTTATGGGAGCCCAGAGCAGGGCACCTCACCCACCCCGGGGCACCTGGAGGCTTCCCAATGGAGGAGATGTTTGTTTCAGCTGAGACCTGGAAGATGAGGGGTTGGATAAGGGACAGAGGGACTCTCTAGTCAGCTGTGGGCACAAGAGGAGGCGGGGACAAAATGAGAGGACACTGAGGGCCCCTGGGCTCACCCCCTTCTCACCATCTCCCAGAGGCGGTGCCGGTTGAGGGCGATCACCACCATGGTGGGCTGGACCAGGTACCCACCAGGGCTGAAGGAGAAGTCTCGGCCCTCCCAGGTGACATTCAGTAGGTGCCTGCCAGAGGGGAGAGATGCCTGCAGCCCTGCCAAGGACCAGGCACCCCCTGCCTCTGCCTCACTGCCACCACCGACAGCAGGTGGCCTTGATTGTGTTTATTGTTCAAAGTGCTTCCCTATATTGGCCCCACGATCCTTGCCACACCCTGACACCTGCTGTTTTTTCAGATGAGGACCCTAAGGCACAGACAGGTGGGGTAATGTGGCCCCAGGCATGCAGCTAGTGAGAGGTGTAGCTGGCCAGCCCAAGTTCACTGCCACCCAGGTCCCCCGAAGTGCTCCCCACCTCCCTACCCCTATGCCCCGGGCAGGTGCCCACCTGTAGAAGGCCTCCCGGGCAGGGCTGACGGGCCCAGGGTGAGCGCGGCAGTCCCCGGCTGGGGCTGGCAGGGTTCCGTGCTGGCGCCGGTAGCCGTGGGCGCCCAGGGCCAGAATGGCCACGCCGTCGCGGACCTTCTGGCGCAGGCTGAGGCGCCAGCTCTCGGTGACGACGCTGATGAGGCCCACAGGAAAGGTGGCAGGGGGCGCATCGGTGCTGCCCAGCGCCAGGTTGGGCACCAGCCACACGTGGCCGGGCCCCACCAGGCCGGCCTGCGCCGCCTCGGCGAAGAGTACCTCGGCCTCCTCGCTCGAGCAGTAGGCCACGAACACGGGCGCGTCGAGCTGGCGCAGCAGGCGCTGGGTGCGCGCGCGCGGCCCTCCCGGGCCCAGCTCTAGCGTGACCACGTCCAGCAGCCGCCAGCTCAGGTGACTGGCGTCGGCGACAGCGCGCACGCCCTCCAGGAAGAGCGCGTGGCCCGGGTGCAGGCTGGTGATGACCGCGAAGGCGCTCCAGTCGTACTCTTCCAGCACCTTGAACAACACCTGCAGCTGCTGCTCCAGGGACACGCCCAGCTGCAGGAAGGCGGAGCCCGGCTCCTGGGGGCGGGGCGGGGCCTGAGCCGGGGCGGGGCAGGCTGAGCCCCGCCTCGCGCCCCTTCCCCGACCTCGACCCCTCCATCCGCTCCCAGGCGCCCTTGCGCGGGTGGATGCTCCGCATTCCGGGAGTCCCCTGGCCTGCGCCTCCCTCGCGCCCCAACGTGGTTCCCCGCTGCCCATTAGCATGGTCATGCCCGGCCCCCAGCCCACCACGCTGGCCCTCAGACCCGCAGCATCAGCACCACCGGGGAGTTTGTCAGAAATGCAGATTCTCAGGTCGCACCCCACACCGACCGGATCGGAGTCGCTGGGTATGGCGCCTGGCATCTGTATTCTAACAAGCCCTTCAGTGGACCCTTGAGCCCGCTAGACTGAGAAGCGCTGCCCCAGACCAACTGAATCTGAATTCCAGAGGTGCAAAGCCAGGCGTCTGTATTTCCTAAGAGCACGATGAGGGTCGAGAGCCAGTGTCCTGAGATCTTACGCCGGGGACCCAAGAGGACTGGGAAACACCACCTGGTCGGAGCCCTGAGGGTGGGAATGCTCCTCTCCACCCCCTGCCACCACAAAAGCCCAAGGCACTGCCGGCTGGCACCGGGGCCAGCGCAGTCCCCTCCTAACTGGTCTCACTGCTGCCACTGTCCCAGTCTTTTAAAAAAGCAAATAAGGGAAAATTCAGAGGCCAAGCAATGCAGTTTCTTCAAAAAACAAATTGCAAGGAAAAAAGAGGGAGAGACAGAGGAGGGGCCCAGAGGTTGAGAGAAACTTAGAAGCCACACCAACCAACCGGCACGTGTGGACCTGATTTGGCTCTTGATTCGAGCAAACAGGCTGCAAAATAAACATTTATGACAGTTATGAGACAATGGGGAAATTTGAACACTGCCTGGATAGTTGAAGGAATTTTTATTATTTTTTAGACATAATGATGTATGGTGGTTTTACTTTCTTAATCCCTTATCTGCCAGGGATACATACTGAAATATTTATGGATGGAATAAGAGGATGCCTGGGCTTCGCTTCAAATTAACACAGAAGAAGGGAAAGGGGGTGGTGGTGAGGCTGGGGTGGATGACCAGGGCGAACAGGGGATATATAAGCCTTCCTTATACTTTTTAATGTATACTCAAAATTCTTCATATAAAAATTAATGAAACAAAGGCAAATCAGATCAGTCTCTTCCCTCGACTCTCCTGTGCTCTTCCTTGAGTGGCTAGATCACCAGGTCTAGGAAGCTCACAGGGCTAAGGTGGGCACGGACCACGGCCACCGTCACAGCCCGCTTGCCCTGCCCTGGCTGCCCACTTGCTTAGGGAAAAGCCCAAATGTCTTCCCAGGTGGCCAGGCCCCCGCCTCCTTCTCCAGGCTTTTCCCTCTATTCCTCCAAAGCTCTGAGCTCCTTCCCCACCTTGAGAACTTCATCCCACCTGCTCCTCTGCCTGGGCCTCTCTCCCTCCCCACTGACTCGCCCTTAGGCCCTCAGCCTAGACATCATTTCTCCAGAGACCTTCCCTGGCCAACACCCTATGCATGAGCCATGCGTGAGCTGCCTCACAGCATCCTGTTTTTCCTTCAGAATGCTTGTCCCAGTTGTAACTGCGGATGGGTGTGTGTTTGGAACGTTCTCCCCCAGCCCTGCAAGGGCAGGGCCGTTTCTGCCTCCCGCAGGGCTCCAGGGTTCCCTGGAGTGCTCACCCTACAGGTGAACTACAACTGCCCGAAGGGCATGGCACCACCTCCATGCCCGGCCGGCCCTCTGGGTCTTCACCCTGACCTAGGAAGCTGAGGGCAGCAGACAGGAGGAGGGCTGGGGCCTGAGCCCGGCAGCCAGAGGTGGGCCTGCACCCTGCCTACCCCTCATCCAGACACAATGTGAGGGCAGCCCAGAATGTCTCTCGTCTAGAACATGGGCTGTCATTCCCATAGCCATCTCCCCATCACCCACGTCATGCCCTCAGCCCCCACCTCCCTGCCGGTCCCGTCTAATCCCAGCTTCCCAGAACCTAAGCACCGCCCGCCCCAGCCTGGTTCCAGGCCTGAGGCACGAGGGGACATGAGTTTGGACATGCACCTTGGGGGAGAGGACCACAGCGGAGCCTCCGCTGATGCTGAGGATGGGCACATGGGTCTGGGAGGAGATGAAGTCAAGGATCTGGGCCACCGCCTCGGTGCCCACGTTGTCCTCAAAGACAATGCCGTGGACGCGGGCAGCACCCAGGAGGCCGCAGATCTGGGTGAGGAGGCTGCTGGGGTTGGTGTTGTTGACCCCCACTGTGAGTGGCTGGATCTCCAGGGGCAGGTCCAGGAAGCTCTGGGGGGTGAGGCGGGCACGGACCTGGGCCTGGGGCGGCCCCGAGCTGCCAAACACCACGGCCACCGTCATGCCCTGCTCACCCTGCCCCGGCCCCGGCCCCGCCCAGGCACCGAAGAGCGAGGTGAGCAACAGGGCCGGCCCCAGGGCCCCACCCATGTCCACCGGAGGGTCCTGCGGAGAGACCAGGACAAGCACAGGTAGGGAAACAGAGGTTTGGAGAGAGGTAGATGGACAGACAGGAGGGACGGAGGGGCACACATACAGAAGATGAAAGAGAAGAAGGGAAAACCTCCCTCCCCGAAGAGAGGCGGAGAGAGAGGGAGACAGACAGACACAGACAAAGAGAAAGAGACAGAGGTTAGTTGAGCATCCCAAGGTCATCCCGGAAGAGCAAGGGCCAGGGAAGAAGAGGAGCCACAACCGGGACCCAGCCCTCCAGTCTACCGATGAACTGCACACTTGGCTGGAAAGGCAAGGCCTTCCGAAACACAGCCACCGGGCTCTGCCCTAGGAAGTTATACTGAAAATGCTAGTCTGGGGTTCAAGTGCATGGATTTGAGTCAGAGAGATCTGAGTTCATGTCCCAGTTCTGCCACTAACTGGCTGTGTGATCTTAGGGAAGTCACTTAGCCTCTCTGAGCCATGTTTTCTTGCCTGAAATCATCACAGCAGTGTGGGACTTAGATGAGCTAACAGGCTATTTGCTGGGATTAGTGACCTTATCCTGCAGGTGACAGGCCCCCAGCCAGGTGAAGGAAGACAGCTCTTGCATCACCCCCAACCCCCCGCCCCGCTGCCAGTCCTCTCTGTAGTCTAAACGGGATCTTCCATCTGTCTCTCATCAGGGCCTGTGCTACTGGTCCAGCGTGCCCTGCTTGCCATGGGGCCAGCCCCAAGGGCCCTGCTCTGCATGGCTCTGCCTGGCACAGAGCCCCCTCCTCCTCAGCACTGGATGTCACTACAGCCCTTCCTTCTGTGGCCTCAGCTAGCAGCAGCTCTTACACAGCAGGGTGCAACAGCGCTCACTTGTTCAGAGCTCAGGGGTACCCGAAACCCCAAGCTGGTGAGCTGGGGTTTGGTCTCGTTTCACATGAGCTGGTGGGCTGGCCTCTCAGGCCATCACTGGCGTGCAGGATCTTTTTAACCCGATCCAGGGCCCTGACATGTATCCTTGCTAAATGTCATTATTTTGGATTGGGATCAAGAGCCACAGCAGTGAGGGTAACGCAAAGCCTGAGTGGAGTGGTGCCCACGGATGTCGCTCTCCCTCCCAGCTGGCCATCGGCCACGGCACTGCCACCGCTTCCATCTTCATCACATCCCCAGCAAAACTTCTGAGCAGGGGAGAGCTAAAGGGTGGACAGGATGAGCCTGCCACTCTAGCCCTCCCGCCTCCCCCAGGATCTGCACATTTCTGCTACAGAAATGCTCACGAAAATCAAGAAGTTGCCAGAAACCGCGCCTCGGAAAGGCAGATGCCCTTCAGGGCTGGGGCCCGAGGCAATGGCTGGGCAGGCTCCAGCTTTCTCACAGGGCCTTCCTTTTGCCTGCCGCCAAATTTCTCTCTCTTTTTTTAATCCAAAGCCTAATGTCTTACAGACATATGGGCCTTCTTGGGTCTCTAGTCCTCTAAGGAATCCAGAGAGCGGGGAAGTGCAAGAGGCTACCGCGAACATTCAGGAAAGTTCCTCTTCTCCCCAGGGTGGCACTGAAAGGATCCCTCCAGGGGAACCCACTAGACTGACTTTAGTGCAGAAACATAAATTGGCCATGTGTGCTGAACCCCTTCCCTGCGGTCGGCACTGGATGGTCGAATGTCCCTGTGGGTGAGACATGGTCCCTCCGCTCCAGGAACTTAGAGTCAAATCTGCAGAATGAGCATGCTGCTGTTAGCACCTCCAACCTCATCTTTTTCTAAATGTATTTCTCTTTCCACCCTTCCCTCCCTACTTCCCTCAAACTGCCCAGCCTCCCCCTCAAGACCTTCTCTTAGCTAAGGATCTAGAGCTCATTCACAGGAAGGTATAAGGGACTGATAATAGCTGAAAGGGTTCTCATTCCCAAGAGAGAGGTAGTTGAGCCTTAAGCTAAAGTGCCAGGTGGTAGAATTTCAGGCTAACAAGACAGGAGTTTTGGCAAGGAAGGGAATATTGTTCTCATGTTGGTGCCCTTGAAGTCTTCCCATGTGTATGGTTCCCTAGTACAGTGACACAGAAGTGACAGAATTGACAGCCCAGAGACATGTTTGAGTCTGGCATGGGATCGATCAGTGCCACGCCATGCCTCAGCTACCACCACCAATCAGGGATGTCAAATCTCGAGCACAAAGCTCACTGATATGCTTGTCGCTCCCCTTGTAAGGCCTCTGTCTGCCCACCTCTGCCCACACCTCCAGGTCCTAGAGGTTCCTTGCCCTCTGGGAAGCCCCAAACCTCCTACCACCACTGCCTCCCAGTGATAAGCTCTAGATCTGTGCTGCCCAGTATAGGAGCCACCAGTCATACATGACTATTGGGTACCGGAAACATCTCTCACCCAAACGGAGGTTGCTACCAGTATAAAATTTCATCCCACACTGCACACTGAAGACAATAGGGAAAAAGAATGTCAAAATCTCATAAACATTTGTATCTTAATTACATGTTGAAATAATAACATTTGGGGTATGTTTAGTCAAGGAAAATATACTATTAAAATTCATGTCACCTGTTTCTTTCTATTTGTTGTAATGTGGTTACTAGAAAACTTTAAATTGTACTTGTGGCTCCCATTTTATGTATTTATTTATTTTACTTCTCTGGACAGTGTTACCCTGGATGAAGGGCCCAGGCTCCTCAACTGCAAAGGGGCAGAATAAGCAGTCTGCCATGAGCGTCTCCAACCTCCTTCTTCTAAATGTATCTCTCTTTCCACCAATAGCCTGCCCTCCCTACTCCCCTCAAACTTCCGGCCTCCCCAGTCAAGATCTTTTTTTTTTTTTTTTTGAGACGGAGTCTCGCTCTGTCACCCAGGCTGGAGTGCAGTGGCCGGATCTCAGCTCACTGCAAGCTCCGCCTCCCGGGTTCACGCCATTCTCCTGCCTCAGCCTCCCGAGTAGCTGGGACTACAGGCGCCCGCCACCTCGCCCGGCTAAGTTTTTGTATTTTTGGTAGAGACGGGGTTTCACTGTATTACCCAGGATGGTCTCGATCTCCTGACCTCGTGATCCGCCCGTCTCGGCCTCCCAAAGTGCTGGGATTACAGGCTTGAGCCACCGCGCCCGGCCGACCTTTTCTTAACCAAGGACCTAAAGCTCATTCACGCGCAGGAATAGGGTCTGATAACAGCTGAAATGTTCTCATTCCCACTCTTTCTAATAGGAAGGCATCCTCCTGGGCTGGGGACACCAGAGACTCTCTCCAAAGGGAAGGTGTCCTCCCGGGCTGGGGGGTGGGGGAGTTGAGGCAGGTAGTACCTCTAACCAAGGGGCCTAAAATGGGGGAGGGATCCCAGAATACCTCAAGAGAGAGGGGCCAAAACTAGGTAAGTCCCTGGGCTCCAAATAGCAAGGGGCAGACTCAAGGAGCTTCTGACGTCTGTCTTATTACCCTGTCTAACCCCGCCGCCCTACAGAGGTAGGAGGGACAAACCCCGCTCTGCCCCACCACAATCTCCTCCCTTGCCTCCCCCTCCCCACCTCCCATCTACCCACCCCCACCAGCCCCACTGCACTGCTGAAGCCTCCCTCCAGCCACTGCTCCCTCCTCACACAGGACAGCTACTCCCTGGTGCCCACAAATGAAGTCCGGACAGCTTAGTCCCATAGACAGAGCCCTCTGCACCCTGACCACAACCAACCATCCTCCCATCCCTGGAGCCCACAGCTCTGCCAGTCTGCTGGCCAAACAGCCCCACTCTGCCCTCGTCTCCAGGCCTTGTTCCAGCATCCCCCAGGCTGGAACGTCCTCATCCCAACAGAAGTCTACTCTCCTTCAGGGCCCAGCTGAAATCCCTCTCCCACAGGCACCTGCCTTGATGCTTCAGGCTCCAGGTGCAGGGTCTGCGGCGAGGCTGAGGCAGCTGCCCTTCTTCCCCTTGCCCTGGCTTCCCCTCCTGGGTGGGGAGCTCTGTGCAGTAGTCCCCTCCACCCCTCCATTCTGTCCTGCGGCAGGTGTGTGTGTGTGTGCACTCATGAACACCCTGCCCCACACTGGACTGCCAGCTCCTTGAGGGCAGACACATTGTCTCAGAGACCTCTGCCCACCCACCCACTCAGGGTCTCACCCCTTCCACAAACAGCCCTTAAACTAATGTTTGACAAACACAGAGATCCCCCAAAGAGCCCCAGAGAGGATGGCAGTGGTCAATCCTTCAGGACACAGCAGCATCTGGAAGGGTCTGAGCACCTTCCCAGGCTGGGGGCCTTCTTCCTGGGTCCCCACAGCTCAGCCAGATCCCCTGGCACAGACCTGCACGCACATGCACACTCCCGCACTCACACCGGCTCACATCGGAGATACCGATGGTTCCCCCTCCCAGGCTAGGAAACTTGGTCGCTGGAGTCCTCCCCACCCACCAGCAGAACCCCAGACCCCCTGCCCTTCCGGTGAGCCGCCCTTCCTTTGCCGTCGGGTTTCCCTCCCTCCCTTTTGCCCAGCCAAAACCCGAACTGAGGCGCCAGGGGAGAGGACCGCCGTTCTAGCATGCCCCACTGCTGGGGGCACGGAGTTCTCGCTCCTCCAAGGCTACCGCCCCCAGTCTCTGCTGACCAAGCCCGGACTCCCCCCGGCCCCCGGGACGCCCCGCCCCCTCCCCTCCGCAAGAATCTCTTACACTCGGGCTGTGAAGTTCGGGGTATTTTTAGGCCGGCGATAAATAATTCATAGGGAACGTGGCATCAGGCTCCCCCCGCGGGAGGAGGGGGCGCAAGCAGCGAGAGCCACCGTCACCCGCGGCTCAAGGACACTCGCGATGCAGCGGCGGCGGCGGCGGCTCCGGGCGGGGACCCGCGCCACGCCTCCTGGCGGCGGAGCTGGGCACCACGCACCCGGCGCCCCCCGCCCCGCGCTGTCCCCGCCGGCGTCCGCGGCTCCTGCGCCCCCACCCCCACTCCCCCAAGCTGGGTCATGATCCTGAGCCCCGCAGTGGGGGGACCAAGCCAGTCTGGCAGGCGGCCCTGGTACCAGCCCAGGCCTGCCCCGGGGCCCTGGGCGAACCCAGGTGTCCCGGACCTGCCTACCTGCCTCTTGCACGCTCTTATTCTTCGGGAGTTTAGAAACAGGCTCAAAGTCACTAGCCCTGCCAAGACCTGGACGGGCTCCGAAATACAGCCAGCGGAATGGTACCCTCCCCAAATAAGTTTCTTTCCTCGATTTTCCTGTGGCCTGGGGTCAGGGACTGAACTAAGATGACGCCACCATCCGAGGGCTGGGGGACCGAGCCAGAAGTCCCCTTGGACGACCAGGGCTGGGAAACCGAGTGGACGAATAGGGTGGGCATCGGGGCCTGGCGGGAATTTCTGTCTTGCTCACCCAGCAGCTCCTTGCAGGGTCGCGGGACGCACCTGGAGGTTCAGGTTGCCTGGTGCCTTTGCTCCGTGTGTCCCCGCCTTGCCCGCCTAGGCAGGAAACAGGAGGCTCGAGGCTTCCCCTCCCCGCCGTCGGGGATCCTGGGTGAAGCCCCCAGAGACTGGCGCAGGCGGCTGGTGCGCAGCCAGGGCCCAGCGCCAGGTCACGCTCGCCCAGCGCCCTCTCTGCCTACCCTTCCCTTCGCGCGCTGGAAGCCCGGAAGCCGGGCACGGGCCAGCATCTGCAAGATGCCACTACTCTGGAAGCCCACTCCGATTCTCCCAGGTCGCAGGAGGGAGAGACCTAGGCTGGGGCAGAGGAGATGGGGCAGAGCTGGAGGGGAAGAATCGGGACCCACGGCGGAGGAAGGGGTCTGGGCGCCGAGGCAAGTGTGCAGCAGGTGCCCAGCAGACCTAGGGAAACCGGGGCACTGGGCTGGGGAGCCGCACAGCCCCCTTTCGCCTTCTCGATTCCTTTCCAACCCCTCGCTCTGGTCGATCCCAGCCCTGGCCCCAGCTCCCTGACCTGTTCCCCGCCCTCCGCCCCGGTGGCTTCCAGCAGCAACAGTTGGGGTCTGCGGCAGCCCAGACTCCCCCGCTCCCGCCGTGCCGCCGCGCCAAGCGAAGGAGGAGGGGGGCTCGGCGACCCCGGGGACGAACGTCTTAGGCGCTGCACCCGCGTCCTTCTCTCACGTCCGCCGCGCGCCTGTCTCCTCGGCCTCTTCTTCACCTCCTCTCCGGCCGCCCGGGTCCAAACCCAAGGCCGGGTTCTCGAGGGTCCGGGTCCTCCAGCCGTCCCCTCCTCGCGCCCCGAGAGTCCTGCGCGGGCCCGGCTCCCCCCGGGTGTCCCGCCTCTGTCTCCGCCGTCCTTGCTCGCGCGCCGCGGGAACCCAGCCCCAAGTTGGCGGCGAAGTTGGCGCCCCCCGCCCGCCGCCTGCCACTCACCAAGAGGAAGGGGCGCTGCGTCCGCGCCGAGAGCCCACGCCGGCCGCCTCCCTCGCGGTGTCTGTCCCAGAGCCTCGGCCCCGGAGGGCTGGCGCGCTCAGTCTCAGCTCCGCGGGCGCCGGAGCCAGGGCGCGGCGGGGCGGGGGAGGGTGGCGCGGCCTGGCCGGCTGGCCCCGACCCGCCCCCGCGCCCCGCGACCCTCCCGTGGCTCACACGGCGCCCGGCTCCATCCCGGGCTGGTCTGCGCGCCGAGCCTCCTGCTCCCAGGGCTCACAGCCGACTGTGCAGGAGCTTTCACCGCCGCCCGCGAGGGCCCGCCCCGCCGGGGCCCGTCGCCTCCGCCCCGGCTCGGCCCGGCCAGCCGCCCCTCGATGCCCCTCCCGCCGCAGGCCCGGGTCCCTCTCTCCTCTCCGGGACCGCGTCCCCAGACTCGACACTCGGGGCAAGTGCACCTCGGAGGAAACGCCAGCCTGCCTGGAACCTGGGTTTGAGCCCGCAGCTCACAAGTGTGTGACCTTGGGCTAATTTCGAGGACCCCTCAGTTTATAAAGCGAGGCAGCATCTTGGGGGCTGCCATGAAAGGGAGTGACCACTCTCCGGACACTGCAAACCCCTAGGGAGATTGAGGCACTATTTTTAAAGGCCAGTGGGTCTGACTCGAAACAGACGCAGGAAGGTTTTGGGAGCCAAAGAATGGGCCCCGGGCTAGACTCGCCTGGGGCACCCAGAGGTACAGGGGACAAGCTGCTGCTCAGTCCCCCTGCTCCCATTTCTTCTCTTCTGTTTTGATTGTACTGAGGTCTCACCAGGGAGGAGGGGTCCCGGTCCCAGGCAGCCCTAGTGTGGACAGAAGACAGGCAACCCGCAGCCACAGCAGAGCCGAGCGGAGAAAGGAAAGGTGTCTATGCCAGGCCTGGCTGCCGAGCCCCACCAAGCCCCCGAAAGGCCCCGGAGCAGGGAGCCGTCTCTGCAGCGCCACCTGGTGACGGTAGGGGAGCTACGGCCAGAAGGTGACCCCCGACCCCAACCCTTCCAAAAAAAGTCCCCCATTAACCATGGCTTTTGGTTGCAGCTGTTTTATTTCCAGCATGTTCCCAACCTGGTGACCCTCCACAGTCCAGCAGTAGAGAGGTGGGTAAGGAGTTAGGTCGGCCCGCACCTCCACCTGTCCCTAAGGTTACCTCGGTTGCTGAAAGCTAAACCCTCGGGCACAAGGGCGACCTTCCCTAGGAGGGAGGAGACGCTGGAATAGCAGCCAAGCCTCCAAGCCACAGCCAGCTGGGATCAGCAGAGGTTGCAAAGTCCCACTCAGACGGATGGAGCCCTTCCCCTCCCAGCATTCATCCCTTCCCTGCCAGGGACAGGGGCTGGGGCTGGGCTCAGTGCCCCAGCAGGCGTAGCATCTCTTGAGGATCCACCAGCTTCTCCCTGGGCTTCCCTGTGCCCTGGCCCCGGGCCACCTCCTCGGCATCTAGCTTCTCCCAGTCTGAGAAAG